CGTGGGGCGGGGCTGGGCGCGGCAGGGAAGGGCCAGCCTGGGCGAGGCGCGCTGGGCATCATAGCGACACTCGGCGGCCGCTCCCGGCACTGCGGGAGCAGAGGCGGCGGCAGCGGACCCAGCCACGCAGGCTCCGGTTGCGAGTCCGGAGCCGGTGTCTCTCCGGTTCTTGAAGACGCGTCCTGAGTCTGGTTCCTTATCTGAGCTGGGTCAGAGCTCCATTTCTCGGGCCCAGGCTGCGGGACTCTGCCAGGAAAAATGGAACACAGCGGGTCCCCAGAGGCGCTGCTGCGCGACTCCACCTGCACCCGACGCACCTCTCACCCACAGAGACAGAGCCCCGTGTGGATTTCATTCCAGACTGCAACCTCATTACTCCCAAACTCACCCCGACCCCGCCAAAGATCGGTAACCCCAAGCCCATCCCAAGCATTTCTGCCCCGTGCCCTTTAGAAACCGCTGCTGGTAACGTCCGAAATGGAGGGGGAGGAGCCGGGCGGACGTAAAGGCCTCGGCCACCGAGATGGAGGTGCCAGTGTTTGGCCTCCAGGCTGCCACACACGCTCTCGGTGTCAGTCCGTTGCCCCAGGGATGGCAGTTGACCCCGAGAAGACCCAACCGGCTCTCTCTCGCAGGCCCCTAGCCTCTCCGATGACCGCGAGTGTCGGTGACCCTGGAGGCCGACCCTTAGATCTGCACTGCACTTGGTGCAGGAACCTGCTGCGGTCCAAAGGCTCTGGGGACCTCCGCAGCAGCGCTTTGTCCTGCACGTTTGAGGCCGCCTTGAAAAGAAGCGGCCCTCAGGGGCAACACCACCACTGCCACTCCCCTGCCCCTGGATTTTTTTTTGTCTGGGCAAGCCATTCGCTTTGGTCTGCGTCAAGAGCAGAAACTAAAGTACTTGTTTTTCTGGGTCTGCTTTGCTCCCCAGCCAGCAGCTGTGGCAGTGGGATCGGGTTCCCGGTTTTGTGGATCTTCTTGGATACCCCCAGAGACAGGGAGCTCACTGCCTGTCAGGGCAGCTCTACCTTCTCCCAAGCATTCATTGCTCACAGTTGTCCCTGTAACACCTACTTGTTCTGGTTGGGATCTGAGCCCTGTCTTGGAGAGGGTGACCCCTCTGGTGAAGAGACAGAGGGTGTTATGTGCTTTGAGCTCATTTGCTGTTGCTCAGAGAATGTCACCCACCAGGCTGCTTTGGAAGGGGCTTTCCCAGGAATGACAAAGGAAGGGGTGGGCATACCCTTCCAGGGGCCTCCAGCACTCTGTGAGCATGGACACAGATTCACCCAAAGGAGCCCGGGGGGTGTGACGGGGCAGCAGAGAGCAGAGCATGGGCCTGGGGTTGGAAGAGGGTGGCAGCCGGTCCCTCACAGTCTTTGAGTGTTTACTGTACGCCTGCAGCTTTTTGCACAAACAAAACAGCTTTGAAAAACAGGTTTGTTGGAACCAAAGCGGGCACTCGCCCTGCCAGCAGGAGATGCTCCTCCCGAGAGCTCGCTCGGGGCCTGTCCCCACAACAGGGAGGTCCACAGATGAGCATGCAGGCTCAGAGTCTTGGCCACAGGCTCAAGGCTGCACATCAAAGGCCAAGGGGGCTGAGAGGTGGCCTCCTGCCTCCCGTGGACCTCCTCCCTTCTGGGTGCCACACATTTGCTCTTGCCAAGGCCAGCACTCCAGCCCTCTCAGTCAAGGCCACGTCCACGAGCACAGACATGGCCTAGGTGGAGCCCACACACCTCCCAGGCCTGGACTTGGACTCTCAAGGACACGGGCTCTCTGCAGCTTGTCCAACAGGTGTTTATTAAGAGCATACTGGCATACAGGCTGCTCCCAGGTTGTCCATCAACAGGGGCTCGTCCCTCCCTGCCTGCCTCATCTAGATCCCAGGGCTTTGTGACCCTCCCAGCCCGACTGCTACCCAGCCCGTCTCATCTCAGCCTTGGAAGGCCCTGGCTCAATCCTGGAGGAGAGGGCAGAGAAGGCTTCCTAGAGGAGGCACCTGAGCAAAGGTGGCCAAAACATGGGCTGTGGCAACAGCAGTAGCCAAGGCCTGCAGAGGAGCCGGCTGCAGGCTGTTCTAAGGCACTGCAGCCCAGCCTGCTGGGCAGGCGGGCACCGGGCAGGAGTCCCGGGGGAGCTATGGAGGTGGGGAGCAGGGTGAGGGTTAGACCTCTGCCAGGTCATGAGGTCAGGGACACGGCATTGGCTGTGGACCCTCCTGGAGCCTACAGCTGGCTGGGCCCCCACAGCAGCAGGCTGCCAAGCGTGGCGAGCAGCCCCAGCGCGGTGGCTGGCTGCAGGCCGTGGGCCCCACTGGCATTGCACAGATCCCTGGAACAGCACGTGATGTTCTTCTTGCCCACGTAGTAGTTCTCCGCATCTTCCACACAGTCCGAGCTGCAGCCCTTACTGATAACAGTCACGAGCCCAACTGCACCTGGAGGGGCATGGTGACGGCTGGGGAGGCCAGTCCTGTCCCTAACTGAAGCTCCGCAGCCACACCCCAAGCTGGTCGCGAAGCTGCCAGCAGCAGGAGACCAGGGCCTTGGTCTTGTCCATGTCCAAGGACCCAGGGCAGCTGGGCCTTGGGCTGAGCACCAGACAGATTGAGTGGGTAGGTGAGTGCAGGATGGGGTGGGTAGATGTGTGGGGTGATGAGGGCGCTGGAAGGGGTGGGACATGTGGGGATTATGGGTAGATGGTCAGGTGGGCAGAGGACAGAAGGCTGAACAGTGGTGGAGACCCAGCCCAGGCTCCTCGGTCAGCCAGTGGCAGGGAGGGAGCCGGGCAAAGGCACTTACGGATGCGCTCCGTCTTGCACTGGGTCTGGCCTTGGGTGCAGTTCTGCACGTTGTGGCAGTCCCTGTTGCTCACCTGGGCTGTGCAGGAGTAACACTGGAGGGCGGTACCTGCGAGGCGGGGCAGGCAGGGCAGCGAGGTCAGAGGCTGTCCTCCCAGCCTGGGCCTGCCACACTTTCTCTCCCCCACCAGCATGGAGAAAGGCATGAGCCCTTCCAGACTGCTGGGGGTGCAGACCTGAGCCCAGGCCCCTCGCGAGGTCCTGGGTGTACCCAGTCCACCGAGGACTGGCACCCACTTCCCCTGCTGCGCCTATGAATGACTTCCCCTCCATGCCCACGTTGCAGCCCATGGCTGCATACCATGCCATGCTCCCTGAAGGGCAGAGATGACCAGCCCCCGTGTGGCCTGGCTAACCCTGTCTTGCAGGGGCCCAGCTGGGCCCTGGAGAGGAAGGGTGGGGGTGTCGGGAGACCGTTCCCTGACTTTCCTAGGCCACCAGGCCTCAGGCCTACCCATTCTTATCCCCTAAGCCCACCTGGTCTCAGCCCCTCTCAGGCCTTTTGGTGCTATGTGACCACAAGTGGCCCCTGGTCAGGTCCTGCCCTCCCTGGGTCCAGTGACCCCAGCTACCAGGGTGTCCTGCTTAAGTCTCCTCCCTTCAAAGCTGCTACAGCTGGCTCCGCAGCACCTCCTTGAAAACAGGTCCAAGCGCCTCCCCAGCCCTACCCTGGGTGCCCTTGGAGTGTTGTCCTGCTCAATTTCCTGGTGGCCTCGGGGGACAGCCCCCTGCCCACACTTTCCAGAAGAGGATACTGAGGTCTCAGAGGGTCAGTGACTTGGCCAGCCACAGCACAGGCTGAACCATCCCCTTGGGTCCTCCACCTGGACACAAGCTCTCCCGTGGAGTGGACGTCAGGGCTGGGGGGGCCCCGGTCTTCTCAGTGCAACCCCAGCACCTCCTCATTCCAGCCTCCTTCCTTCCCTTCTGAGCATGAGATGTCTTGCCCTGTGCCTCCCAGGACTGTTGGTCAGCATCCCTGTCCCTGTCCATTTGACTTCTGCCCCTCCAACCCTGCGAGCAGCAGGGAAAAATTCATTGCAAGGAGTCATCCTTGCTTCCCAGATGTGCCCAGAGTCACCCTCCAGGGAGCCCAGTGGGCAGAAACCCGCCTCCTTCCTCCCACCTGACCCTCCTCCTCCTCCCGCTTGCCCCCTGGGACCCTTCTGGCCTCCACAGGCCCCTTCCTTCAGTCCTGCCCCATGGCTGGCTGAGGCTCACCTGGCTGGAGGGCCAAGCCGATGGCCAGCAGGGTAAGGAGGACAGCCTTCATGGTCACAGGCGGGTGGGGGACAGCCCTCAGGGAGGCTTTATATGACTTCAGCAGGCAGGGAGGCTCCGTGGGCTCCTGGGGGCCAGTGAGGCTCCGGGCTGGGCAGATTCCAATCTGGGCCCTCCCAAATGGCCCCTCCCACTCCCTTTGTCCTTCTTTCTGCCTCGGAGGACACAGCCTGCCCAGGGTGGAGCCATTCTCCCCAGGGAGGCTGTTTTTCAGCCACCCCCAGAATGAGGGCTGGGAAGTCCTCAGGCCCCAGATTATGCCTCATGCCCTACAGAGGGAGGCCTGTCCCCCTCCTGCGGCCTGCAGTCCATGGAGGAGACAGGCCTTGATCAGAGCATCCCAGACCGATCAGCAAGTGCTGCCCATGGCAAGAGCAGCTGCTAGGAAGCCGCCCCTGGGCTGGGCAGTCCGGAGTTGCTTTCTCTAGGGAAGGGGCTGGAGGCCCGTGGGGACCTCAGATGGCCATGGGCTTTCTCAACAGGACCATATTTAATCCTCAGCTTGGAACTTCAGGTGCAAGGAAGTTGGGGACCACATGGCTTTCAGCAGCCCCCCGCACAGGAGGAGGGGTGAGGAGTCAGCACTCTAGCTGGCTCAGCTACCCAGACCCCTCTGCACCCTGCCCTGGCCCAGCTGTTTCCTTCTCCAGCACCCTGACTGCAGGGCTGGGTTGGAGGTGCCGTGTCCCTCTGGAGGGTCCCCAGATGCTATGGGCCAGCTCCCCAGCCAGCTCTGGTCACTGTTCCTCCTGTCTGCCCTGCTAGGCCCAGGACAGTAGCTTCCTGCTGCTGCTGGCCCTGGGGTGACTCATGGTCCCTGTTGCCCATCTCTGCTGAGGCTTGTCTGCACACTTGGCCCCTCCGCCATGCTCCTGTGACCCTTTGGGCACACTGTTGCTCCAGCTGATGACTGGACAGAAGTGCTGGCCACGGCCACTGGTCAGTTGTACACAGCTGGGAAAGAGCCCCTTGTCCTCTGATACCCTCCTTTCCCTGCTAATGGGCACCGAACTATTCTCCCTACCCTGGGGATATCCTCTCTAGAAAGGCCCTGGCATGCTAGGGTGGGCAGTGGGTGCAGGGAATCAGCCCAACCCAAGGACTACTTTCTGAGGGGCTCAGAAAGGCCAAGAGGCACCTGTATCCTGGGGTCCTGAGCCCAGCAGCTTGCAGGAATCACCAGAGCCTGGGTAAGGTGACCTAGCTGATGGGACGGGTGACATAAGGCCTAGATCCTCCAGCACTCTGTGGCAGAAGCCCATGAACTGCCCAGCTCTCCAGCACCTCTGGGTTGGTCTCTTTTCTCATAAATTCTCTTTTCTGGCAGTGAGAAACCTGGGGCTCAGTGGTGGGGGGGATAGGACTGGGCTCAAGGTCACACAGGCTGCGTGTGGCATCCCCAGGACCCCTTCATGCCCTCTGCTCTCATCTGGAACTTTCTCTCCGAACATCCCCTGCAGCCCACAGGCCTGTTAGTGCAGCGCAGGCGCCACATGCAGGGATTCAGCTCTCCGAGGCTGTTTCCTCGTGTGGCTGCCCACCTGCCTGGTCCTCCCACCAACCGCAGCCCATGAGAACTCTGGCTGCCCGGGACAGAGCCTTCCTTATCTGTCTCCGCACTGGTGGCACCCGGCACCAGCACTGACCTGGAACACTCATTCCCCAAACATGTACAGGTGTGTAAATGTTTGTCCACTGGATGTGATATGAAGTGTGTTTAGCATTGCCTGCAGGCGGCTTGGGTTGTCCCAACCCAGGGTGTTGCTGGCATTGGGTTGAGTGGTCCCAGGATCTGCTCAACATCCTGCTGTGCACAGGACAGCCACTCCCCTCCCCAATCCCTGCCCTAAATGTCAGTAGTGCTAAGGGTGAGAGCCCTGGTCTACGGGTGGCCTAGTAGTCACAGCTTCCTTATAGCCCCACCCTGACCTCAGCCCAGCACTGAGACCTCACTCTGAACTCTGACCCTGGTCCCCAAATAAGCCAGGAGCACATCCACCCACTGATGTCTGCCCTCTGTCCTTCACTCTTTGGGCACATATCACATGCAGCCCCTGAGCCACACTGGGCCTGATCCTCTGGTGGTCCTGCTTCCTGGAGGGTTTGTTGCAGAAAGGCATGACCCCCTGTGGTCCCTCCGGGAGTGGACGGGGTCCAGATGGGGCCTCAACATGACTCAGTCTTTACCTCTGTCCCTTGTTCTCTAGCCAGTTCCTGGGACTCCAGATTCTTCTGCTCTTGTGGCCCTACCTGACCCGCCCAGCCACGGCAGTCTCAAACCTGCTGGGCTCCCTGGAGATCCTGCCTGTCCACATACCACAGGAGCTGCTGCTCCCTGGGTGTGGACCCCTCACAGGGCGGTCTTGCCCACAGACCACCATTTCCAGCGGAGCCTGCCACTCAGGCCCCTGCTGGAACACACATGGTATTTGCATTTTTTTATTTCATGCACAGCTAGTTTTTAAAAAGAAGCATGTTAATCACAAAAAGAACTGACTTCCATTTACATCACCGAGGGTCTCTTCCTGTGAAGACTGCCTGCCGCCAGGAGCATGGCCTGTACACAGCAGAGCTGAGCCTCCTCTTGGAAACAAAGGCCATGTCTTGCAAACTCTGAGGGATTTGAATGTGTGCCGTCTGTAGACTGTGTGTGAGCATGAGTGTGTAAATGTGTGCCACATGGGAGTGTGAGCCTGTATGCAGATAGGAGTTGGGGCGCTCACCCTCTGGGGAGCCGCCTGGGCAGCCTAGAGCCCCCCCTGCCCCTGACATCAATGTCCTTCTTCCCTTCCTCTATTTCTGAATCCTCCCACCTCTACTTCCCCAGAGGGCCTGGCCCCAAACCACCTTCCCTCCTGTGCAATGCACCCACCAGGCCCCAGGAGCAGAGCCGTCTCTCCTCCCTGTACCCCTTTCCTTACCTTTTCTTATATCCCCACTCCTGGAGGGAAGTCAGTGAGTGGAGACTCCAGGCCCACCCAGGACAGTTTCCTTCTCTGCCACGGGCCTCAGACGGGGAGCTGCAGTCCCCTCTTCACTGTGGGAGACGGGTATCCCCGAGACCCTCCTGAAGGGAGGACTGGCTGTTGCCTTTCCCACCTGAGGCCTCCAGAGCTGGAGTGAGGGGCACTGCCAGGTCCAGGCACACCTCCAGACAAAGGGGGCTACAGCAGAGGGCACAGCCCACAGGATGGACCAGGGCTTGGTAAAGGGCTGTGGGTCCAGAACACTTGGCCTTGAGGACCCGGACTCTTTTCAGAGAGAGAGGAGTGACCTTCCCAGACTGACCTCTCCAAGGTCACTCTGGCTGTGAGGAATGGTCAGCAAGGAGGCTGTGGCTGTGGTTTGAGGGCTTTATCCTGTAAGCTGGAGGAGGCTGGGGAAGGAGAGTGCTCAGTGCCAGGCCTCTATTTCTGAACCCCCTCCCCACTGCCAGAGTGAACTCAGTCCATCTGATGAGGTCCAAGGGTCCTGGAGTGACATCCCAGGCCCCAGTTCCATGCCCAGTCCCACCCTTCCAGCACGGCTGGTCTGGGAGGTACTTTCAATTCTGGGTCCAGTAGGCGGCAGCAGAGAACCACTGGTAGGCCAGCCAGCCTGGGCACCTGGCTGTCCTGCAAGCCCCATCAGGGAGCCTGGGGGTCTTGGGGTCCCCTGTTAGGCTCCCACACTATCTCTTCCTGTCAGGCACACTTAATGCTAGCAAACAGCACCTGTCATGCCACTGAGTTTCCCACAGAGTTTCGGGGTGGTTCACTCTGCAGCAGCCAAAAGCTGACAATGGGACAAAGGACAAAGAAAAGAGCAGGGTGGGGTGGGTGTGACCACTGCTGGCCTGCGGCAGGACCAGGGGCAGAGCCAATCAGAGCTCCTGGTCTGTGGGGTGTGGTGTGGAGCCTCTTAGGAAGCTGTGCAGAAGTGTTCTGTAGGAAGAGGAGTTTGGATTTCAGGGGAGAGCCTGCAAGAGACTTGACTTGGGAGCAGCCAGCCTTCCCTGGTACTGAGGCCCTGGTACTGGAAACCACCTGGGAGTGTGAGTGGGTAGAGAGCCAGAAGTGAGCCAGGTGGGGACCAGTGAGGGAGGGCAAGGAGAGAACCAGGTGGTGGCAGGGCTGGCCCAAGGGAGGACTGTGAATCAAGGAGTGAGTTAGCAAGCTCTGTATGAGTTTTTGTGGGGGCTGTGACCAGGTGCCTTAGTGAGACCCATTATCTCATGTTTCTTCCTCTGTCACTCAACTCCAGCATGCCACTCCTGACCACAGGGTGGTCACTGTTTCAAGGGCTGCTGTGTAAGTTGCAGGGTGGCTCCAGTGTAGCAGCCGAAGCAGGTCAGAGTCTGAAATGAGTCTTATGAGGCAAAAATCCAGGTGTCACAGGTGCACGCCCCAAGAGAATCTGCTTCCTGGCTTTCGCAGGTTCTCGAAGCCTCCCCCACTGGGGACCTGGTGGCAGTTCCTTTTAGGTCAGTGGTGGTGACTTGGTGGCGACTCAGAACAAAGCCGCCGCCCGCCTGGGGAAAGGAACATCAATCAGGTGCTGGCAGAAACGCCTGTCAATCAGCAGGACCCCCTGGCCAATCCTGGAGTTCAGCCAACTCCCCTGACCAACTCCAAGGGACCCTAAAAACACCTTTTCCTGTCCCAAGCCCTTCCCTTCCTGCTGTAAGCCCCATAAAAGTGCAGTCCGGTCGAGCTTCCTTGCGGTTTCTCCTCAGACCCTTCTCCTGTCCACTCTGTGGGTCCGATCGAGTTCTGCCCGGAATGATATCTCAATAAAACCTGGTTCTGCGGCCCTTTTAAATCTGCCTCCTTTGATCGTGCGCCTCGCCTGATCTGACAGTTCCTCTGCCAGTAAAGCACGTGGCTCGCGGGTCCCAGCGGTGATCTTTTTGCCTTCATGGGCACACTGTCTTCTCCCACCTGACCTTCCTGCTCCCTTACAGGACCCTTGTAATGACACGGGGCCCACCCACACAACCCGAATAATCTCCCATCTCAGGACCCTTAACTTAATCGCGCCTGCCAAGTCTCCTCTGGCATGCCAGGCCATGAATACACACGTTCTTAAAATTAGGAGTGGGCAGCCTCGGGGGCCACCATTCAGCCCACCACAGTGCACTCCACAGTTCACCAGCAAAACGCATTGAGTTCCTCAGGTGTCCACCAACACCAGTGCACCTGTTCAAACCTCAGCATCAAAATCATCTACGTGGGCCGCAGAGGTTGAGCGGGGTGTCCCTGTGGGGAAGCCACACTGCCGCAGGCACTGGCCCAGCAACAGCGGTCCCAACAAGCCTTGCACAGCGCGGGGCCGGCAGCACCTGCCGACCTGCAGCATCCCTGCGCTGGGTGCTTCCAGTCCCTCTCAGACCCCCGGGAGGGCCACAGAGAGGACGAGTCCTCCGCCTGCCTAGAGCGTCCCGGAAGTGGC